ATAGCCTTTTTCTGAGTGATAAATATGCTATTTACAATACACAAAGTTATTCTACCAAATTAATTTATAAGTGTATTAATATCGCATATTATTTGTAGCATAATAAATTCAAAATATTTTTGCGTTTATGTCCTTTTTACCAGCAGCAAGATAACTTGAGTTATAGCACCAAGTAGTTAGATATTTCTATGTCAAAGTAAGTTTCATGGGAAGTATGTAAAACCTTGTTAAATAGGATGAAATGTGTGGATGGAAGAACCTGAGAATGAGAAATGCCAAATAGTTCTGAACCTTCAAGGACAAAAGAAGCAACTAGGCCACTTGTAGTTTCTAAAATAAAGCAAATTTCTTGCAAAACCTTCTTCTGTGGCTGCACCAAAAAGTTACCTACACCATTGGAATTTGACAGGATTAGCAGAGACCAACATATGAAAATTCTGCCTATAAAAATATTTTATAAAATTCTCTTATGGATCAAAAAAAGATCTCTCTAAACATCTGTTTTTAACAGTAATTAGCTACTTTTTAGTTATATATAAGTTGCCAGGAGATGATGGATGGATCTACAATATAATTATGTATTTGACTAAACGACTCTTTAACTTGTGATTAAACCTTTTCAAAAATTAAAAAAATGCATGTTAGACATTAAAATGACTGCTCTGATTCCTAAGCTGAGTTATAAGGTTATTGAAAGAGAAGTGGATGCAGGAGTCCCAGGACATCATACAGAGAGGCTGTTGGAAAGACCCCCACCCCTCCAGAGAAACACAGGAGGGAGGACCTGTTGGCAATGAAGAGCTTGCAATTGCAGATTTTGCTTACAGATATGGAAGGATGTTTGTGGGTGTGTTTGCTTGTTTGTTTTGCCTGAAAAATTGGGTCATGGTAGTTTATATATTTAGGGAATTATTTTTTAACTGTGTGAAGTAGAAACTTCCAACTTCCAGAATGACAGAGTTCGGGCATGGGATAAACCAGTCCCCAGTAACAACTGAGAGGCTAGGCTAAATGTTCCAACACATCCATCTCAGGAATCCCAGGACTCACACAAGCTGAGAAGCGTCTGCCCACAACACAGCCGGATTTCGGCAATGAGAGTGCGCCCGCCCGCGGCGTTGCTGCTGGTGAACTCTGAGGAGCGACAGTGCCCCTGCCCCCACAGGGGGTTCTGCCCTGGCTGCAGGCACTCTTCACCTGGAGCGCTGTCTATAAACGTGGCCAGGGCAGGGGAATGTTGCAGTTGCAGCCATGCAGGCTTTGCAGCCAGGTGCATGGCCACACTGGAATCATAACCACACTCTTCACAAAACGCTGAGTCTGGGAGTCTGACCTCGGTGGGTGGAGGCTCGATGATCTCAACTTTGTTTTGTTTTGTTTCTGAGACGGAGTTTTGCTCTTGTTACCCAGGCTAGAGTGCAATGGCATGATCTCGGCTCACTGCAACCTCCGCCTCCTGGGTTCAAGCAATTCTCCTGCCTCAGCCTCCTGAGTAGCTGGGATTACAGGCGCACACCACCATGCCCAGCTAATTTTTGCATTTTTAGTAGAGACGGGGTTTCACCATGTTGACCAGGATGGTCTCGATCTCTTGACCTCGTGATCCACCCGCCTCGGCCTCCCACAGTGCTGGGATTACAGGCGTGAGCCACCGCACCCGGCTAAAAGGTAATTCTTAGGAGAGATGAAGAAGTGGGTCTCCATGTTCAAATGATCCGGAGAACCCCCAAGAGGATGGTTATTAATTAAAGTGGCCTGTATTTAGCATAATGCCATTGAACCTGACTGTATCTAGAAGACACATATACAAGTTCAACCCTATGCACAATTAGTAAACAGCAAGATCACCTTTTATGTGGTTTTACACTTTAATGCAGATACAGAGGTGTTTGCGGAGGGCTCTCTGTGGGTTTCCTGTGAGTGCAGAGAAGGAACAGCTGTGTGTGTGTAATGGGCACTGTAACTTCTAAAAATATAACTCGTTGTAGGCAAGGTATTTGAGAACACTCTATCATTACAAAATGCTCCCAAATCTGCCTCTGATCATTGAAAATGACAAACTCTAGATGTGTGCACACTTCCCTGATGCTCTCATTGCTGACGGTTGTGAAGAGGCACATCACGCAGCCTGGGATGATCTCACAGTGCATGGTGGGCACGACACCAAGCTCAGGTATCTAAGCAGACTCAGATTAGGAACTTTGTCATTCTTGCACAGGAAATTATGGTTTGGATGTGCAAATATTCTACGTCAGAGAGTGGGGGAAGAAAAAATGGAAAAATCCTCGTGATATTTTTAAAAGTTAAAAATATCAACCATTTTCTTTTTTAAAAAAAATGCAAGCTAGTAAACCACAAAACATTCAATATAAAATAAAGGCAACTGTCCTCACTTGTCTTGACTGAGTTGGTGGAGGCAACAGGCCTCCACCTGCGACCCAATGGTCTTGAGTGGCTGCTCCTCAGCGTGGGAAATGCTCTGCGTGTCCCCCTGGCCGGGAAGTGCTTGGGTGCACCAGGCCCGTGGTCACCTCTGTCGTGCTCTGAATCCCTTATGCTCCAGACTGGACCCACCGGAAGAGACGCCGACAGAGAATCCCTGGATCACAGAGCAGCGTGGTGACCCAAAACAGAACAGGAGACTCATCTGTCCTGTGAAGTGATTCAAATGCAGCCTGTGCCCTATCCCACGCCCACCACCCAGAGACAGAACGAGAGGCTCGCCTGCAGGATGAATGTCCGAGGGGCTGCTCGGGAAGGGCGCCGAGGCTGTCCTGGGAAACGCGTGAGGCCTGGGTGCACTCGGATCTCCACGTGTGCCTTCTCACGTGACGGGATAGAAGCTGATTGGTGCTGCTGCCCCAGGCTTGTCAGTGCCCTCGACTGGAGGACAATCACCAACCACATCATCCCTGCATGGACACGCAGGTCTGAAGATGTCAGGTGTGCAGGGTCTGCGGGAAGCATCTGCAGTTCACCTGGTTCAACAACCCCAGTTGCCCCACAGTTGAGAACCAGCCTGGAATGCCAGGCAGGTGTATCACCTGAGGCCAGGAGTTCGAGACCAGCCTGGCCAACAGGGTGAGACCCCATATCTACTCATGGGTCTTGCAGGTGACCAAGCCTTAAAAAATGTTAAAACTGAAGCTGGAAGCCATCATTCTCAGCAAAGTAACACAGGAACAGAAAAGCAAACACCGCATGTTCTCACTCATAAGTGGGAGTTGAACAATGAGAACACATAAACACAGGGACATCACACACCAGGGCCTGTTGTGGGGGTGGGCAGTGGGGGGGGGAACTTACAGGATGGGTCAATACGTGCAGCAAATAGCCAGGCTGGGGGGGTGCCTGCCCTTCCCCTCACACCCACTAACAAGAATTTGTCCCTTAGTCCACATATCCCAGACAGTGGAGGAAGTGCGATCCCCTCTTTGACCCAGGGAGACAGAGAAACTGTTTCTGTGTAATGTTAGAGGATCTCTGATGTTTGCTCCATGCTCTGCTCTCTGGAAGGGTTGGTGTCCTCATCACTCACCGGACCAGAGTTGCCGATACCTCCTATGGGCAGGATCCTTGGAAGGTGGCTTGAGTCCCAGAGGTTAATCAGACTCAGTCCTGCCTCCAAAAGCTCACAGTCCACACATAAAAGACCAGGGGGATCGGACAATAAAAACTCACCCTGTTGGGCACAGACACTGTGCGCTGATCAGTCTCTTTGCTTAGCCTCTGAGATAAAGACATGTGTATGAAGGTGGATGTCTGCACTGAGACGCTCAAGAATGGAGAGGGTTCCCAGGTGAAGGAGACATGCACCAATTCGCTAACTACAGCTCGTCGCAGGCAGCAGTTTGTGAATTGCTCTGGGCAGGTGCCAATTCAGGTAGAAAGGAACAGAATAAAGGCTCAGATATAGAGGTCATCAGAAAGCAGCTTCCAGACAATATTCTTTTTTTTTTTTTTTTGAGACGGAGTTTCACTCTTGTTACCCAGGCTGGAGTGCNAAAAACAGTTTTTTTGAAAACATCAGACAGCCTTAAAAGAGTTTGTGCAGTCATCTGCTTTTTATTTTTATTTATTTATTTTTATTTATTTATTTATTTTTTGAGACGGAGTTTCACTCATGTTACCCAGGCTGGAGTGCAATGGCATGATCTCGGCTCACCGCAACCTCCGCCTCCTGGGTTCAGGCAATTCTCCTGCCTCAGCCTCCTGAGTAGCTGGGATTACAGGCACGCACCACTGTGCCCAACTGATTTTTTGTATTTTTAGTAGAGACGGGGTTTCACCATGTTGACCAGGGTGGTCTCGATCTCTTGACCTCGTGATCCACCCGCGTCGGCCTCCCAAAGTGCCGGGATTACAGGCGTGAGCCACCGCACCCGGCCTCCAGACAATATTCTGTGCCGAGAAAGGATGCGTGCTTTCTCTCCATGTGAAACCAGGGGACGGGAAAAGGGGCAAACAGGAGGTGACCTTCTCAGAGTTTGGGAGAAAATCTCTATGGCAGAAATTTGCACAAAGATAAGAGGTGAAAAGACACTCCAGGAGAGAATTCTGCTTGTTCCCCGCATTTCATTAGATGAAGACATCTCACGATAGATGTTAAATATTATCATTTTGTTACACTAGGTCTCTTCCAGGAGGCTGCACTCCATGAGAAAATACACTCTGCATCTTCAAGTTTAAACCTTTCATCTGCAACACCTAGAACTTCCTCTGACAAAGAAACATTCTGTATTCATGCTCTTCTGACAGCCAGCAGCCACATGTGGCTCTCAGAACTCAAATTGTGGCCCTGTGGCTGAGGAATTGAACTTTAAACTTCATGTAATTTGATCTGTTCTAAATTAAAAAGCCATATTTGACAAGTGGTTACCATATTAGATGACTCAGATATAGAATACACTTCGTGTCTGCAAAATTTTATTAAGTAATAGCAAAGACATGGAATCAACCCAAATGCCCATAGATGATAGACTGGATAAAGAAAATGTGTTATATGCACTCCACTGAATACTATGCAGTCATGAAAAGGAATGAAATCATGTCATTTGCAGAGACACAGAAACCAGTGCAGGAACAAAAAACCAGACACTGCATGTTTTCACTTAGAAGTTGGGAGCTGACCGGTGAGACCATGTGGACACAGGGAGGGGAAAGACACTCACTGGGGCCTGTCAGAGGAGGGCAGTGGGTGCAGCGAGCATCAGAGAAAAGAACCAGTGCATGCTGGGCTTAATACCTAGGTGATGGGTTGATAGATGCAGCAAACCACCATGGCACACGTTTGCCCGTGTAACAAACCTACACATCCTGCACACGTATCCCAGGACTAACGCCTGATGTAGGTGGTGGGGGGATGGAGGCAGCAAACCACCATGGCATGTGTGTACCTATGCAACAATCCTGCAAGATATGCACATGTACCCCAGAACTTACAGTACAATTTTTAAAAAGCATTTGATAACATAATCCAAAAAATCACATTGCAATAAAAGCAGTAAAAATGTCCAAAAAATTTTTAAAATAGACTTACTGAGTAATTTAGAGACTAAACTGGCTGAGGATATGCATCAGCTTTCTAGAAGCATGTCTGCAGAGTTTCAGAATAAGTCAGGTGACATTAGTGAGATGTCCAGAATGAGTGGGTGGATAGAGTCAAATCACCTTAAATGGCTGGATGCTCAAAATAGAATCATAGAATGGCTAGTTGTCTGAGAAGCAGTGCTGAGATAATCCCACAGGCATTCAGACTCTGCTGTTGCCAGCTTGGAGGTGTCAAGATAGTACCAGAAGGAGGAGAAATGTCCATGGAAAAAAATCCTCCTAGGAAAAGATCCAGGTCCTTGTGCATGAATGCCCCTTGCGCTCAAAGACTGGGGGCGGCTGTGGCCTCCGTCTAGGCTTGGTGGACGGCAATGTAGATACTGGGCTCCTCCAAGAGGTACTCAGGACACGGGAGGGTGGGAGTGACTCCTCTCTGAGAGAGGGTGTGCTGGTTTAACTGGGCATACACCATCTCCTGTGCTGCTTCTGCTGCAGGGTCCTGGGGGGATGGAGGTGAAAAGAGGCACATATTTAGTAACTCAAGGCAGGGCCGCTGGGTGTCTGAGAGGATGGCGCTGTGGTGATGGTTTGGGCTGGGAGAACTCACCTCTTCATCCATCTGTTGGCCTTCCACGTGCTCTGTGTTTGCCATGGGGGTGTCTGTGGGGTGAAAAAGAATGTCCTCCAGATCTTCATGTCAGAGGTGGCGATATCAAGACCAAAGCAAGGTGAGGCTGTGCCTGAGGTTGCAGTGTGGTCCAGCCTCCCCCACTAAATCGGAACCACCCATCAGCAATCCAGGGCAATCCTGACTGCCCGAGGACCCCTCCGATCGATGGCCCCCATCCTTCTGCCTCTCTCATGGACCCTCTCCTGCAGGTCAGTGGCCTCTCAAAAATGAGGTAGAGCAGGGGAGGGGGAGGGGTGATTGGTTAGTCAAGGAAAGGGGTGGGGTTCCTCCGTCAAGAACCTCAATGGAAACACAGATCAACCCGCAGGATGTGAACAGCCCCCTCTGTGCCTCGGTCACATCCCCACGAGCTCACATGATGCTGTCCCCTCTTCCCTGAGACTTACGGTATTTTACGGAGCACCAGTAACCAATAAAAGCAGAGAGGCAAATGCCAACGCAGATGACGGCTACTGAGAGCCCAATGAGGATATTCAGGTTGCCGGACTGTCCTTGAGGAAGGTGTGTGTCTGTCAAGAAGCAAATGATAAACCCTCTCATTCACTGCTTGCCTATTTTGTGCCGACACATACTGAATGCATGACACACTTTATCTGAAATTCTTCCAAGATCCCTACACCTGAACAGTTACTTTCTTCATTTTCCATCACGTACAAAAAATTCCAAGAGAAGTGAAGACTCGTGTCCAAATCAAAGAGCCTCCAAGAGAGATGTGAAGGCTGGGTGTGGTGGCTCACACCTGTAATCCCAGCACTTTGGAAGGCTGAGGCGGATGGATCACCTGAGGTCAGGAGTTTGAGACCAGCCTGGCCATCATGGCGAAACCCTGTGTCTACTAAAAATACAAAAATTAGCCAGGCGTGATGGTACACAGTTTCAGATGCAGATGAGGAATCTGGGGACATGGGAGGGGCTGCCTAGCCCCAAGTCACAGAGCTGGGAGGTGGCACAGCCTTCACTCACAGAGGAGCCTTCTGTCTCCCCAGGGACTCAGACACTAGGATAAGAATTATTTGCTTACCAGATTCAGGGGTGGATTCCATGAACGACAGATGAGTATTCTTAGGGTCTCCTAGGGAGAAATAAGGCAGAGGAAGGGTGAGCAAGAGTCATTGACTGCCCCATTAAAGTAGGACCATTTTCTTTTTTCTTAATTTTTTTTTTTTTGAGATGGAGTCTCACTCTGTCGCCAAGGCTGGAGTGCAGTGGTGCAATCTCATCTCACTGCAACCTCCATCTCCTGGGTTCAAGCGATTCTCCTGCCTCAGCCTCCCGAGCAGTAGAACCATTTTCTTTGGAGGGTTCGTCCCTGTCTACCTTCTACCCTGTCATCCACGTAAAGACTAATGGGGGTCCTGGGGTCCCTTCCTTGGAATCTCTGGGGGGCGATTCCTTCCCTAAGCTGGGAAGGTGACTAGGAGATGCATGGTGATGTCAGCAGACATTTCTCCCTTTGGGACGATAAATATCCACGTTCCCTGACAGGGAAGTCTCTCTGTGGTGAGCAGTCAGGAGGGGCTTCAGAGAAAACGGAAAAGGGCGAGGGGCTGAGGCAACCCCTGATCTCCACAAAATCCATCTGGCCTGACCTCCGCCTGTGTTTGCCCTGAACTCTTTCTTCATGCCGGAGGGGGCGGGGGGTGTGGAGCTGCCCTGTCTACCGCCCTACACCCTGACAGCCCCATCCCGCTCAGCCTCTTCATTCCTGTCTGGATTTTTCACCGCTTCATTTTGCCAGAATACCTAATGCCCCTGTGTGCCCAGTGGGATGTCCCTCTGGTATGGCTCTGGGACTTAGCAGGGCAGGCAGCAGGCGTGGGTTCCTCACCTATGACGGAAAGGTGCAGGGGCTCACTGGGGGCCGACCACTCATATGGCGAGGCTTTGAAAGAACCGTAGCATCTATAGGTCCCGCCATGGGCTGGCGTTGCGGGGCCCACGGAAAAGTTGGCCTGGAACGCTCCCCTGTGTCCCTGCCCTCCACTGAGCCACTGGCCATGAGGAGCCCCCTCTCTCCACAGATGGTACCGGTCAAATGAGACTTGGGAGATGCAGAATAATGTCACTTTCTCTCCCAACCCCACCATGGGGCCCACCTGGGTGGAGAGAGAAGGCTTTTTGTGTTTTCCTGGAAGAAAAAGAGGCTGATTTTAGAACACTCCTGAGTGCGTGAACAAAGTCCTCTCTCTCCCTGCTGTCATCTTGGGGGCAGATTCCGAATGTCGGCTGCTGCCTCTGTCAATCTCATCTTCCTCTCTAGGGTCCTGACCCAGCCTGTGTCTGTGTCGTTTCACTTCCTCTGCCTTTCATAGATTCCCCGTGGCTTTTGACTGTGTCTCTGTGGCTTACTGCCCCTTGAAGCCATATGGGGTGTGGGGTTCTCCTGGAAAATGGGAGTTACTTTGTGCTTTGAGAGGTTTCAGAAAACGGAGTGCCGGCCTTGGGTTCCCTGACGTGGGACTAAGGACTACATGAGTCTCACTATTTCTCAACTCTGTGTGTTGAAAAATACAAGAATCTCTGGAGGAGCAGAAGGAACTTCACGGGCTCCCACTGCAGGGAAGAACTGGCTTTGCCCCCAAACCCAAGGAGTTAGAGGTGACAACTTGCCGGGGAGGGTGAAAGTGACCCCTCCCCCTCCTTAAGCACTAAGACATGTTGAACCCCTTTGCTGAGCTCCTGCTCACAGTCCCTCTGTTCCTTTATTTTTCTTCCTCTCCTGAGGTTTGATTAACAACCCCATCACCCCAGGAAGCTCCCAGGGCACCAGTGGAGCACGATGGTCCAGCCACACTCACCTGTGATCACAATCTCCAGGGGGTCACTGGGAGCCGAGCACTCATAGCAGGAGTGACTGAAAGAACCACAGCATCTGTAGGCCCCCGCATGGGCCGGCGTCACAGGACCCAGGCGAAACACAGCCTCGATGTAGTGAGTCCCAGCCTCCATCCCCGCGTCAAGCTCCTGGGAATGCTGTGTGTGCCCCTCTTTGTATAAGATAAATTCATCAAATGCCAGCTCCGAGTGACAGCGCACGGTCACCTGGGCTCCCGCAGCCACCGGGGAGCTTGGGTGTGCAGAGATGGATGGTTTTCTGAACGCACCTGGGAGCAAAGACAGAGGAGTTCACATGGCTCACCCTCCTCACCCCTCACCTGGGACCTCAGGGTGAAGCTCTCCCTCGTCACCGCCAAAGCCCATCCACGTCCTTCCTGACTGTGTGTGCGTGTTCTCTCCGCACCGCTCCCTGTGCTCTGCCTTGAGGCCATATGAGACGTGCGGTGCTCCTGGAAAGCGGGAATTGCTCTGTGCTTTGAGAACCTTCAGCAAACACAGTGCTGGCTTAGGATCCCTGACATGGGACCATGAGGTTATGAGCCTCACTATTTTTCAGCGCTGTGTGTTGAAAAATACAAGAATCTCCAGAGGATTAGAAAGAACCTCCCAGGTTCCCACTGCTGGAAACAACTGGTTTTGCCCCAAAACCCAAGAGGTTATACGTGACTACTTGGAGGGGAAGGTGGCAGTGACTCTGTTTCCTACTTAGGCAGAAGGACACGGCAGACCCCTTGGCTGAGCAGCTCCTCACAGCCTCAGCCTCCATCCAGATCCTCCCGGAGCTTTCCTAGCCTGGATCTCCCGGCCTCACCAAACCTGCTCTCCTCCCTTCTCTTGCTTGAAAGACTCAACCTCTTGTCTTCTCCTACTGAGCTTGTTGATTATGAGACTCACTGCACACTGTCCCTTCCCTGCTTTATAGGATGGGCAGGGCGACTCTACAGGATGAGTTTGTAACTTTCTGTGGGACATTCTGCACATCCATCGGGGAGAAGGGACGAATGTCAGGATACTGAGAAGGAGGAGGAGGGAGGAATGGGTGCCTTTCCCAATCATGTCCCACTGAGCCACCGGACACGCCTCCCGAGGGAACTGTGACTTCCCCAAGGCTCTGGCTCCTTCAAGGCAGGAAAACGACTTCCCTGGGGAAACGCTGGAGCTGGGGTCAGGGGACATCTCTCCTCCCTGAATCCACCTTGCTGGAGTTGGAACCAACACCCTGCACCTGCTACTTCCCAGGGAGATTGTCCTGCTGCTCGGCTTCCTCCCTCCTCCACCAGGGAAGCTGATTCCTCACATGAAATGCCCTATCTTTAAATTCTCAGGATGGCTTCTGTGTCCACAGTGAGTGCATGACCAGGAATCCCACAGTGGCTCTCTGGACTCACTGGGTGTGGACTCTGGGAAGGACTAATTTCATTAGGGTATACTTAGGCTTTACTTTTTCTTCACAGTAGCCACGACAGTTTTAGGTTCTGACGAATCCTCATCGTTAACAGGAATGAGCTCCTTCCCCAGTACTAACATGAAGGAGGCAGCAGCCCGAGTCCTGCTCACCTCTCATCTTTAATCGGTGGAGGGAAGTAAACACACCCCACCAAACCTCCAGTTTCTTTTGCCCCTTGGACAATTTCTTCTGCAGTTTTGCCATCTTGGAGGAAGGCAAAATCCACTCACAAAATAGCCTCTCCCACTGGAAGCTGTGTGAGCTGTGATCACCACGCTGTGTATTAGATCTCTAGAGCATTGTCATCCTGCAACCCTGGGAAGGACACCTAGTGGACACGGGATGGGCTGGACTTCTCCTACCTGTGACCACGATCATCAGGGAGTTGCTGTGAGCTGACCGCTGTGAGGTGCGGCTGAAAAATCCAGAACATCTATAGGTCCCAGCGTGTCCTGCGGTCACGGGGCTGATGGTGAAGTCACTGGAATGGCCAGTGAGCAATGCCCGGTCCTGGGTCCCAGATGTTTTGTATATTGTGAATGTGGCAAACCGATGATGGGAATCACAGGAGAGAGTCACACGTCCTCCCAGGGGAACCACAGGGCTCGGCCGGGCCGACAGGGAGAGGTCGTCGGGAGCACCTGGAGGAGGAGGAGGCACAGCCTAGAGAGGGAAGTGTGGAGCCCCCCCCACTGTCCTTGGGGTCTTTCCTTCTTCACATTGGTCTGCTTTGCCCTGTAACGTGGGTCTCCTGATGCCCTGGGTACCTGGTGGTGGGACAGGGACACAGCCCACCCCAGAGTGGACACGAAGGTCTTCCCAGAACAGTGTTCTACTGGGCATGGTGATACAACATTGAGCCAAGTTGCTCCTAACTTTTGTCTACAACAACAGACATCTGTGCGTGGAAGAGAGGGAGGAAACCGACCCGATTCAAGCAATACAAAACACATCAACTCATTTAAACAATTCCCAACACAAGTGCCCGGCACCAGGTCCCTGCCTCCTGACAGAGAGTGCCCCAACCCACCCCCAGACACCCGGATTCTCAACATCACAGGCTTCTTCAGAAGGCTGGATGAGTCCGAGGGGCTGCCTACAGGGGGTTTCTAGAACAAGATGGAGCCTGGGGTCTCCCCAGGACCCCCCTTCCTGTGTTTCCGGGGCTCACGGCAAAGCCCTCCCCACGTCATCTGCGTCGGCCTGACTCGTGTCCACCCTCCCTGCCTGGAGAACACTTTGTGTTTGGCCAACACGGCGTCCTAGGACTGGGACAGGACTCACCCGCCTGTGTGCAGATCTTCTGGCCCAGGCACAATCCTGGGGAAGGAACAAAACAAAACAACAACGACAAGCGATGGCGCGTCTGCACGTGAATCCTGCCCTCCTTGTCACGGTTTGTCAGCTCAGCCTGGATTCAGAGGGCGGATGAACCTGGCTTCCCACGCCCAGTCCCAGGTTGTGGAGATGCCGGGTCTTCAAGAGAGCATTTTCCATCCCAACCCTGCCCTCCTTTCCCTTCCAGGACTCACCCAGACACAGGACGGCGATGAGTTTGGGGGCCATGGCGCCTCTTCTCTTGGGCCGGACACAGGGGTTGAGCTAAATTGGAAAATGAACAGGATGTGGCAGCCATGGTTTCGCAGTTTGCAGAGCTTAGAGGTTGCCCCCCACACAGGAAGATGACCAGCCTCACTCTAAACATAGGGGGTGACACAGACAGTATTCTGGTTCAACATAGCCCCTAGCAAAGGCCCGACCTGAACCCCAACACTGACCAACCCACTAATATCTAAATTTCAAATTTAACTTTTCTACATGCAAAATTGTAGAACGGTATCTTAATATCTTATTGCCTTTTTTGAGAACTATGCATGATTCGATTTCTGTTACGCACATTTTCCTGCCAAATGAAAATAGATTTATTATCAGTGTTGTAAAATGATTGTACAATAAAACTGAAATATTTATTCTGTTATGTTCAAAGTTGCAAATTAATTACTTGCAAACTGGGGACTATTTTCAAGTTCTTAAAGTTTTCTTTCGTGCTTCAGTAAGCTAACAACAACAAAAATTGATTTTGTGTTATTAACACAGAACCAAGAGTGCAAATTCTGGTTCTTGATGATTTCTCTGAAATCCTTCCTTGACTTGTGGTTGAAGACACAGATCTCTATATTTCTCTTCCAGAAAATCACCACTGGAAAAAAACGGAGCATTTTCACAGGAATAGGATCAACTCATGCTTCGTCTCTCACCCGTCCCAGAACTTCTCAAAGCACACACACACGATTTTGAACGTTTTCTGTGTTGTTTTTGTAAATATGTGTCTTCCATATCATAGCTATCATCCGGTAATATTTGTGTGTGTGTATGTGTATGTTTAAGTTTTAAACACAGAACAAAGGACAGTTGGTTTTGTGTTTCTGATTGTGAAATGATACCGCTGTGCTCGTAACACTGCACACCTCTTGTTTAAATTTACCGACAGATAGACTGCAGTCAGCGGCTTGCATATTCCTCTATGTCTTTGTCCTTTTCGGCTTACATGACATATGTTTTCACCGGGCATTTTGTTTTTTGGACAAAGGTTGCCCTGAACATTCTCGCCTGTGTGTCCTGGATTGTATGAGTGGGTTTCCCTGAGTTTACACCCCAGGGTGGAACTGCAGGACACGGGGAATGTCAAGGTAAAAATAAACTAGATGAGAACACATTTTTTTTTTCCAGAGTGATGACCCCATAACACCCAGCAATGGTTGTCAGATTCTGTTGTGTTTTCCACTTATAGAAAATACCTAATTACATATGACAGAGGATGAATTTGATGTTACCATTTAATTAAATATATTCTACAGTAGAAAAATACATTAAATAAATGCTGTGATACACATATCTGTACCTGTAAGCAAATGTATCACCCATGAGAAAGATTTTTTACCAATCAGTGATGCCAAATATTAAACACTGTTCTATGATTCATAAAATGTGTTATAATTTATTGACTTGGAAGTGAGATTTGTAAAGTTCGAGACTTCAGTAGAGGACAGTCACCCTCCAAGCAAACCATGAGGCAAATACCCACTTGAAAATATAAAGCACGCATTGGTTAAAAATGAGGAGAACTTGTTGATCTGACGTTGCTTGCAAGCACTTGATGGTGTTTGTGGGTTTCTTGCCAGGAAGGGAGCTTAGTAGTGTTTACATGTTGGAATGAGGCCAACAACTTTGTGAAGTCAACGGTTTTAATCCAATGCAATTTTTATTTAATATAAATTAAAGATTTAAGAAGTAAGCATACACTGGGATGTGGCAAGACACAGCGCAATGACATATCAATTATACTTTTTGTGTCAATAACACAAAATCAACTTTTGTTGTTCTTAACTTATTGAAGCACGGAGGAAAAATTTAAGAACTTGAAAATCGTTCTCAATTTGCAAAATTTTGAACATAACAGAATAAACATTTCTGTTTTATTGTACAGCCATTTTACAACACTGACAATGCATCTATTTTCATTTGGCAGGGGAATATTGCATAACAGAAATCAAATCATGCATAGTTCTCAGAAAAGGCAATAAGATATTAAGATACCATTCTACAATTTTGCATGTAGAAAAGTTAACTTTGAAATTGAGACTCATACCTGTAATCCCAGCACTTTGGGAGGCTGAGTCAGGTGGATCAGGAGGTCAAGAGATCGAGACTATCCTGGCCAACATGGTGAACCCCCGTCTCTACTAAAAAAAAATACAAAAATTAGCCGGACGTGGTGGCATGCACCTGTAGTCCCAGCTACTCGGGAGGCTGAGGCAGAAGAATCGCTTGAACCCGGGAGGCAAGGTTGCAGTGAGCTGAGATCGCACCACAGCACTCCAGCCTGACGGCAGAGCAAGACTCCATCTCAAAGAGAAAAAAAAAGACATTATGATTGTTTAGTGCGGGGATTCAAGTCAGGGCTTTGCTAGGGGCTATGTTGAACCAGAATACTGTCTATGTCACCCCCTATGTTTAGAGTGAGGCTGGTCATCTTCCTGTGTGGGGGGCAACCTCTAAGCTCTGCAAACTGCGAAACCATGGCTGCCACATCCTGTTCATTTTCCAATTTAGCTCAACCCCTGTGTCCGGCCCAATAGAAGAGGCACCATGGCCCCCAAACTCATCGCCGTCCTGTGTCTGGGTGAGTCCTGGAAGGGAAAGGAGGGCAGGGTTGGGATGGAAAATGCTCTCTTGAAGACCCGGCATCTCCACAACCTGGGACTGGGCGTGGGAAGCCAGGTTCATCC